GATCCTGCCCTTCGTGGGCACCAGGGCCACTTCCTCTCCCTCCCTCCTCATCCCACAGGTGCCCCGTGCACTCATGGGCAGCACATCCCCAGGATGCAGGTGACAACGGGGCAGCCTCGATGTACTTTAATAAACCCTGGGGTCCCATAGCCAGCTACAGGCGGGGCAGGGATTGGCCCAGGCACCAGAAGCCCCAGGCTCAGTGGCCTGGCACATGTGGGGCCATGTGGTCCCCACAGCAGGTCACGGAGATGGGCCTCCCTGGAGGTGTCCCAGGCGCACACAGCGGTGCGGGGCTGTTGGAGCAGGGACCCTCACTGCGGGGCTCACCCCTCACGAGTGTCTCCCTGGTCTCAGCCCAGCCCCCCGCTCTCGACAGTTGGCAGGGGCTGGTGCTGGCTGGGGCCATCGCACCTCCCTGGTGTCCACACCGAAGGGACTGAGCACCACGCAGGTGAAGTTGGTGAGCAGGTGCCGGGTGTCGAAGGAGCTGAAGTGCAGGTCACGGCGCAGGGCCGCCCCCGAGCCCCGCAGCTCCTCTCTGCAGACCCAGGGGGGGACCCATCAGTGCCCACCCTGGGCTGGCAGATCCGGGGTCCCTGCCCCAGGACCACCCCGCTGCCTCTGCCCCCCCATGTCCCCCATCCCCATACTCACTGCACTGGCCCCTCATGCACGGCCCCGTCCGGGTACAGGCTCTCCACAAAGGAGCCGTTCCCCAGCCAGTAGAGCAGCGTCAGCTCTGGGAGCCCACTCGTCGCCTCGCATGACACCGTCACACTCTCACCTGCAGCCGGAGGGGACGTGGGGATCAGGGGGGCTGCAAGGGTCCCCAGTGCCCCCCCCGTTCAGGCTGGCCACAGTCACAGTCCCTCCACCTCGTCAGCAACCCAAAGTCTTGGCTGTGGGTGGAAGATGCACCCTGTGTGTGTGCCGGGGGCTGGCGCAGGAGCTGACCCCACTGTGCCTCCCCCAGCTGGGGGGCTCACTGCAGCTTCCCCATCCCTAGGCCATCCCTGCCATGGCCCCAGGGGTCTCTCACCTGGATGGGGGGCCTCTGTTGGCATCCGCAGGATGGTGATGCTGGGGAGCTGCAGGGCCATGGCACCTGGGGGAGCAGAGTGGAGTAAGGCAGGAGGTCAAAAGCGACCCTTTGAGACCCCACATCTCTGGGGTGGGTCAGAGGGCAGGGTGCCATTGAGGGATGGGAGCACTCCTCACCCCCAGAACCCTGCACAGGCCCCTCGAGGGGCACAGAGCCCAGAGGTGACCTGGCCTCCCCGGCTCACCCGGTAACCCCCACCTACCTGCACAGAGAACAGCCAGGGCCCAGCAGGGCAGAAGCAGGAGGAGCCAGGCAGGGAGTCCCAGGAGCCCTGCAGGCAGAGATGGAGCTCAGTGCTGGACATGCCGGGATGCTCCCCACGAGCCTGGGATGGTTCCGTCCCCTCAGCATCCTCCCAGCTGGTCACGGTCCCCCCAGCACCTCCCCCCAGCCACCCCCGGGCTCGTCCCCTCGCATCTCCCCAGCATTCCCCCCAGCAGGCCATGGTCCCCCCAGCAGGCCATGGTCTCCCCATCCTCACCCAGCACTCCCCAAGTCTAGGATGGTCCCGTCCCCTCGCATCCCCCCAGTTAACCATGATCCACCCAGCGCCTCCCCAGCGCCTCCCCAGCATGCCATGAGCCCGGGATGGTCCCGTTCCCCCCGGCATGCCCCTCCCGGGATCCCTCAGTGCTGTCCCCTCCCCGTTCCGTACGGGCATGCCGTGGCTCAGCCATGGGGCGGCGGCGCTGGCGGCGGCGGCGCTTTATGGGGCGGCCCCGGGGCGGGGCGAGCGGCAGCACCGTGACTCACCGACAGCCGCCCCCGGCCCCGCCGACCTGGCGCGGTGCCACGACCCGCACCGGCCCCGCTGCGTGTCCATAGGGCCCGTGCCCCCCTGTCCCCTAGTTCCCAGAACGTGCCCGCTGTCCCCAGCACTCCACGCCCCCTATGCTCCATGTCCCCTACGCCTGGGGCCAACGTCCCTCAGGCAAGCCCAGGATCAGCACACGGTGTGTCCCACCCGCTCCTGTGCGAGCATCCATGGACCCCCCAGGGATGAAGGAGCGGGGCTCGGTTGGGCCCCCGTGTCCATCACGCGGGGCACTGGCTGAGCCAAGGGGCGTCACAGGACTCTGGGACATGCGGGTTTGCCCCCGACACTCTGGGGTCAGGGGCAAGGCAGGGTCTGCACAAGAGGAGAGGGAGGCGGGTTAAGCCCCCGGGGGACTGAGCATGCACAGCGGGTGGGGGGAGCCCTGGCTGCTGACCCCTGGGTGCCCCAGCTGGGGCAGGACAACAGCTTAGCAGAGAGGAACCCCCCAGGACCCAACCCAGGCTTCACGCTGGTGCTTGGTTGTGGGAAGCCTGAGCAGGGGCAGGACCAGGCCCCTCTCCCCTGTCCCACAGCAGAGCCCCCTCATCCCCTGAGCCAGCCCCTTGGCAGCAGACACGGTTTACACGACCCACCAGCCCCGTTCCCCAGCACCCTCAAGCCCAGGAGCCAGCGCAGGCACAGCCACGGGGCAGAAGCAGCCACCTGAGCTGCAGGCCCAGGCACTGCCTGGTAAAAAGTCCCTAATTCCCCAGCGAGTTTCATTATCCCTGTTCCCAGCAGGGTAGAAAGGTGGCGGGAACAGGAACGTTTATCTTGGGGACCTGCCAAGTGCAACACGTCCCTGTCCTCCTGCTGGGCTGAGGTCAGCAGCCACATCCTCCCCACAGCACCCACGGCTGTCCAGTGGGCAGTGACGGGCCAGAGGCCGCTCTCATGGCAGCACCCAGTGCTCCTCTGCCACCTCCCTGCTCCCACCAACACCAACCAGTTGAGCTCTGGGTGCCACAGGTGCTTGTTTGCCATCCATACGATATCTGTCCCCCTGGGAGAGCTGAAAGGAGGAACCATGGCCTCACCCTGGAGCGGGGAAGACGATCAAGAAAAACCCAGTGCCAGGTCTCCATTTCCAGGACTCTTATTTCGGTGTTTGGCACGACACTGCAATGTGGTTTCACCCGAAAGAAAAACCAGATGATGCAGCAGGCGCTGGGGTTCCCTGGGGAGGGGGGGCACACAGCCCACGTGGTGCCCACGGCCATGCCACTGCTGTGGCCACTTCCCAAATCCCCTGAGCCAGGAGCTGCCTCATAGCCCCTCACCAGAACCCAGTCTCCTCAGACAATATGGCTCAAGTATCTGCATGCCAAAATACCACCACTGGCCCTCGGGGGACTTTGCCCCCACCCAGTGCCAAAAAATGAGCCTGAGGCCCCTCACACCAGCAGGACTGCGGCACGGCTCCCGCCGGCACGGCCAGGAGGATGCCATGGTGCAATGCCGGGGCAAGGAAATGCCAGCACCAGCCCAACCTTCGCTCCATCCCTTTTATTCCAGTGCCAAGAAGAGCAACACCCAGAGAGGAGGCCCCCGCACCCTGGGGCAGGGGCACCCGCTCCTGGGCTGCTCTTGATGTACCGTCACCGTCACCCAAAAGGGCGCAGAGAGAGGAACAGCACCGGTCCCACTCCATGCCCTGGCTGACAACCCCGAACAGCCAGGGGATGACGCTGGCCTCCAGGGAGAAACATAGAAAATTTGGGAGCATATAAAAGGGTTCCCCGAGACAGAGCCCACCATCACCGTGCCAGTGAGCAGCTTGGTTCCTCCCGGCACACCCATGGCACCCAGAAGGGGACCCAGCAGCCTGGGGTTGCCAGGCATCCCTCTGTCCCCTCTTTCAGGGCACTGGGCTCCAGCCTCTCCTCTGCAGCCCCCATATCCCATCCTCGCTGCCAGCAAGGCTGCTCCGGGGTGCCAGCGTCGGAGCCGGCAAAGCCTCGGCCCTTCTCCCCCTGGCCTCCCCTGGCAGAGCAGCAGGAGGGAGCCGGAGAACAGCCCCCAGCCCAAAGCTCAGCCCAGAGGGGTGCTGCGAAGGACCCGAGAGGGGCAGGGAAAGGGACAAGTGTCTCTTTTCAGCTGCAATAGAAAGTTTTAAATACGCTCATTAAAATAATTGCTTTTTAAAAAAATCCTCCCTCAGCTCTGGCAGGAGGGGCCCCAATGCTGCTGTCCTCAGGGGTGGCCGAGGTCCTGAGAGGTGATGGAGCAAAGCCAGCATCCCTGGTGGCAACTGTCCCCGGCCCTGGGCACGCGTCCTCTCGTGGCTCTGCGGCTCCCCACCGCCTGCGCTTACTCCAGCCCCAGGATGTAGTTGATTCCCTGGACCAGTCCGATGATCACCGGCTGCCAGGCCACCAGGTAGCGCAGCCAGTCCAGCAGCTGCCCATACATTACGTGAGGCCTCTCCCAGCTGGGCAGGAAGGAGTTAAAGAGCCATGGGGAGATGGGTGAGAGGAGCACGGCCCACCCAGGAGCCACCCAAAGGTGCCCCAAAGCAGGGACAGAGAACACGGGTGCCCAGGGAGGGAGGAACACCGGCACCCAGGGAAGGACAGACACGGGTCCTCACAGAGGGAAAGCTGTGGCCAGGCTTGCCTTGGGTTTTGTAGGGTCTCTGCCACTGTCATGGGCTGCAGTGGCTTACCCAGGGTAAGACGAGCCCCTCACCCCTTATGTGCTCTACCCACTGCTCTCCTTCCCACAGTGCTGGCTCCCAGCAGAAGAAAGGATACGGATTACTGAACATCCTCTTGAGATCCACCTTCTCTTTGCAGTATGGACACGTCTGCTTCTTCCCAACAATGCACCAGCCACGGATGCAGAACTCATGAAACCTGGGGAGCGGCAGGTTAAGGGGAACTAGAGGAAGAGGGGCACACATGACTAAGCGAGGAGGGAACCACCAAGCCTAAGAAAGTCCCCCCAGGCCAAGGAAACATCCCACTGCATGAGGACGGGGCATTGCACAACCACAGACCTTTCCTAGAAGGTGCATCAGCTTCCAGGGAATGCAGAAGGCGCTCACAGGGCAGCAGGATGGGACCAGGGAGGCAGAATGATGGCCTGACCAACGCATGGGCACCGGGGAGACTGAAACCCTTCACTGATGGTGCCCAACACTGGGAAGGTTCAGACAGTCTGGGAGAGCTCTGTGAACTGTGTGCATTTTGGAAGCCTTCTTCAAAGGCTTCTTGGGGACTGACAAGATATTTATGGAATTTCTCCCAGGGTCTGACTTACTGCTATGCTCCGTCACAAGGATGTGCACGACTGAGCACTGCCTGGAGAAGTTACAGGGAAACATGAGGGGGCTGCAGCCCACTTGCCACGCACAAGGGTGTCACTGAGCAAACAAACTTCCCCCAGAATCTCTCTGCTGCTCAAACCAAGGGGGCATGCCAGTGAGTTAGCAACAGGAGTCACTCCGTTGTCAGCCCTGGAGCCACAGATCCAGGGGTGCCCAGCCAGCCCTCACCCCAGAGGACCACCAGGAGCATAGACCAGCTCCTCTGACAACCACACAACCCCGTGCTGCCATAGTCCCAGACTCTGCACGAGTCAGCCATAAATCTCACAAACAGTCCCTAACAGTTAAATTTAGGCCATGAGTTTTGCCAGCATGACCTTTGCCTAGGCCCAGTTTGGAAACCACCTCGCAGGCAGTAATGCACGCGGTGCCAGAGGACATTCCCCTTCCAGGCTGAGTCACCACAGAGAAAAAACCCTGACCTGTCTCAGCTGGGGCTGAGCAACAACCAGAACTTCCACTTTCAAAACCCACTTCACATCAATCAGCTGATGGGAAGGGCTGAGTGACTCCAGAGTCCCGGAAACCCTGGAGGAGTTCTGGGAAAGGAGGAAGCTGACAGGCTGTGATCAGAGCAGGCAGCGACCAGCAGTGCTGGACCTGGGGGCTGTTTTCAGAGGGGGGCCAGCAGTGTTTCCCCCTGATTTTTCCTTACGGAGACTCAGACAGCACCCACTGCACTGGGTCTCTGATGAGGGGCCAGTGTGGCACAGAGCAGGGCATGTCCCAACCTCACACCATCAGAGCTGCCACTGCCAGGCAGACAGGTCACAGCGGATTTGGCAAAGGCAGGTGGAAAGTGAGGTGCAGCTCCATGGCCGAGCAGAGGGAGCTGGGGAAGGGAAGAAAGAGGAAATAACCACTTGTGATACACATGGAGGTGGCAACCAAGTGATTTCATGGATGCTGAGTCAGTGGAGACACAGCCATGGATCACATGCAAATTCAGCCAGACAGCCCCGAGTCCCAGGACGGGCTTTTCTTCACCCATTGTGGGAGAAGCCGTGGGGCAGGAGCTCCTTGCTGCCCAGCCCAGCGTGGGGCCAGCGAGGCGAGGGGCTGGCACCTGCAGAGAAGGATACACGTGGTTGCAGGAGAGGCGGTAGGTGTTCTCGATGATCCCCTCCTCGTTGACGTCCACGAAGATCTGCTGGCCGCAGACGGCGCAGACGCTGTCGGAGAGGTGCTTGGTGGGCATTCCCGAGGCGCTGTAGAACTGAGCGAGGGCAGAGCAGAGGGAGAGCGGTGACAGCGGGAGGACACGTGTCCCACGCCCGCGGTGGCACGGCTAAGCTCTAAGGAGGGCTGGGGTCAGCACCCCGGGAGTCGCCTCGGCCTTTGGGGCTTAAAAACCTTGTTACAGGTCCGGCTGCGGGAAACAACTACAACAGGACAGGGAGCTGCTCAGTGATGCGGTGGCCCATCACATCCCAGCCCCATGCACCCCCTTCCCATGCTGAGGGACTTGCTGTCAACCTCAACTCCCTAATCCCTTTCCACAGGACTCTCTCCAGGCTCTTGTCTTCAAATTTGTACCTGTAACCAGGATTATGCCACCCCAGGAGGAGAATCTTGGCACTTGCCCTGCTAAAATTCACATGGCTGAAGCTTGCCCAGCTCTCTCGTCTGTCCAGCTCTCACTCCTAAGAGGCCACAGCCTCTCCTGGTTTAGTATCATCAGCAAAAACATGCCTCCCTCAGAGTCCTGGCACATTTTTGCTCTGAGCATCTGACAGAGCCCTGGAGATCTGAGAGAGACCTGAGCTGTGCCAAGGTGTTGCACTGTGGCCCGTGAGAGGCTGGAGCAGAACCTCAAGAAGCAGCAGCAGAAAGCTCAGAAAGGAAGAGGAGGGGGAAAGACAAAGTCCAAGACCCTAAACGGCTGCTGAAAAGAAGAAATATGACCTACTTCGCTGGTGTCCTACGTCACATGTTTTTAGTGGAGTGGGTTATTTTGATACCACACGAGTGGGCTACAGATTCTGGGCCACCAAGCCCTCTGTCCACAGGGACAGCAGAAGTCTCTGAACAACGTGTGCCAGTGCCACACCGCGCTCCTGGGGAAGTACTTCCTGTCCTTCTGGGGATGAGGGGACCCAGCAGAGGCTTCACTCTTCAGGAAGGCTCTCAGAGCAACTCTTGCTACATTACAGCCAGGGACCCTTCCTTGAGGGGGAAGTTTGATGCACTTTCCCATTGGAGGGAGGCCAAAGCTGCTGCCAGGACCAACATATGGGGATGACTCTGGCCCGGGGGACAGCCCCTGGTGAACTCACCCCAATGGTGGAGGCCATGTAATCCGCACACATCTCGGCAAAGTCCCGCTCCAGCACTCCGTAGTAAAGACCGTAGAACAGGAGGGAGATGCCAAAGTCCATTGCATCTTCTGGTTTGATTCTACAACAGAAAAGCCCAACCATCAAGAGGTTTTTTTCAGGGCAAAGCCACTCTTACCATATTCCAGAGAAGATACGATTCTAGAGAATATTCCAGAGAAGTAGTCAACCTCTCTAAACATGAAGCTGACTTGGACTAGACTCCTCTGCCGCCACCTCTGGGCTGGCTGCTTCTTGCAGGTACATCTTCATCAGTATAGCAAAGAAAATCCCACTGCTGCCCTCAGACCGGACACCACAGAGCTGAGGGAGCTGCCGAGAGCTGAGCTGGAAAAAGGGCTCTCCAGCAACCTGGACCAGTTCAGGTACCAGCACCTCACCCACGATCCTCTCAGGAGCAAAAGGACACCCCAAGAGTCTCTTTGGTGCCATTAATCAGATTGCCAAGACAACTGTTTCTCCAGAGTAATACTCAATGGCATGTCAGACCCCATTGCCTCAGAAGTGGGAAAGATTCACTCACCTGAATAATAAGTTAAGACCAAAGAGTGTAAACATGACAGCCATGTACCCCACGATCCCAGTTGCATAGCTGATCTTGTATATTAGTAGAAACCATTTATAAACCAGCCTGTAAAGAATTAAAACAAAGAATTTAACAATTTCATTTTTTCCTGAATGAAACTGTGCCAATCACCCGAAGAGTTTTATTTTTCAAACCCACAGTGTTTTTGCAGACACATCACCTACCCCTACACATGGGCAAGAGCTTTACATTCCTAATTCAACCTGCCATGGGCTGCTCACAGTCTTGATTTCCAAACTAGAAACCTCAGGATCTCCAAAGGCCATAAGGAAGCATGCTGCACACCGGGAATGCCCTGGGTGAGGATACCAGCCCACGTGGAATCCGCCTTTCCACCACCCACCCGGGTACCAGATGGATCAGGCTGGCTGCCAGCAGCCACTAAAGTCCTTCACACCAGGCTCCCAGGATGCAAAGCTTAACACAGTCATCTGTGGCAGGGAAACTGGAAAAAACTCCTTGTAATGGTTACTCTGGGGCTGAGAAGTTTCCTCAGGAACACATGGACGAACCTGGGTGTTGTCTGTACCAGAGGCTTTCGAGTTGCCCTGAAGGTGACAAAAGCTGTGACTGCTGAGAAGAGCACCCAGATCACCAGGAACCGCCACCAGTACAGCTTGATCGTGAAATACAGAGGCACTACCCACATCTGGAAGAGGGTCACCATCTGCAGGAACAGAGGAAAGGCACTCGGAGCTGCTTCTCTGCTCCTCAGACATCAGAAACATCCTGACAGTCGTGGCAGCCATTCTCTTGCCTGCATCAAAGGGCCCTGAAAAGCACCAGGAAACTGCGGAGATTTGGTCTGTGGCACCCAGAAAACAGCTCAGAGCTCGGCTGAGAGCATGAGTCTGATGGGGTGCAGCCTGGGTAGAAGGAGGCTCAGAGGGGACCCTCTTGCTCTCTGCAACTCCCTGACAGGAGGGGGGAGCCAGGTGGGGTCAGGCTCTGCTCTCAAGTAACAAGGGACAGGACAAGAGGAAATGACCTCAAGTTGTGTCAGGGAAGGTTTAGGTTGGATATTGGGAAAATTCCTTCCCTGAAATGGTGATCAAACCCTGGCACAGGCTGCCCAGGGCAGTGGTGGAGTCACCATCTCTGGAGGGATTCAAAAGACGTGGATGTGGCACCTGGGAACAAGGGTTAGTGGTGGGCTTGGCAGTGCTCGTTGGACTCCATGATCTTGGAGGGCTTTTTCAACCCAAACGGTTCTGTGATTTTGTGAGGGAGTCAGAGGCAGCAGTCAGGTGATTTTTGGTAGCAAAGGATAGAGCTGGAGGGAGAATGCAGAGGAACCATCTCCAGAGTAAGGTACAGGAGATGGTCCACCCAACCAGTTGCTGTAAGGCAGCTTCATAAACCTTTGCCTTCCCAGGGTCCTGACGCTGCAGCCACAGACAGGTATTACACAAGGCGAGAAGGTTTTGGCTTGTCTCTGCACTCCAGCCTATTCCCAAATGGATCTACAGCTGTGCAGCTGAGCTCTCGTGGTGCCGCTGGAGGGAAATGGGCAAACAGCTTCGGTTCAAAGTTCAGAGGATTACAGGGTACTCCCAGGAAACATTAATTATGATAATATTATCATTACTATTATGACAAGGAAGTCAGAGTGAAGTTAGTTCAGTTAAATAACAGACCCAGCCACCCAGCTAGTGGCATTGGCAAGTGGCAGGTCTGCTCAGCAGAGTGCTGCAGGTACCATCAAACCCACGGTCCTGGCAGCAAGGAGCTCCCATTGCTTCCGAGAAAGCTCCCACAAAATGCAGCTTCCCTCTGGACAACACCTTGTCAATCCCGGGTGCCAAGGCACCACGTCACACGGAGTTACTGGTATCGCTTCCAGCGAAACCTGAGGCCTTCAGGTCCATCCATCCTCATCCCTACTTAAAATCCCCCCATGCCGCTGGGAAGTCAAGGGAATCCCAACACCAGACAATAGGAAAACCAGGAACACACTTCTCATTGGCAAAAGGAGGGTGTCAGTCAACGCTCACCTCCAGCCTGAGGCGGAACTTACGTTGTAGGAGCGAGGGTGCCGCTGCTTCCACTGAACCAAGAGGAGCTGTGCCACCACCAGCGTGGCGATCAGGATGAGGACCATTTCGGCGTGCATGGCCTCGTGCCCGCGGTGCTTGGCGTGCATCCGTGCGTGCTCCACCCTGCAACGACCGGGAAAAGGCGGCTGAAAAGCACAGGCACAGACTGCACAGCGGGGGACAGGCACCTCGGGAGAGCCGGCAACACCAGACAGAAAAACAGCTCAAAGAAGAATCCTGGAGTCGAGGGCTGTGAACAATCCACGGGAGAAAGGACAGAAGGTTGCTCTGGGACCAGCTCATTTCCATGCTGTGAAAGTCAAGAACAACACCCAGCCCATCCAGGTGTGAATGAGGTGGAGAACTCCCACTGACCTACCTGAACTAACGAACATGGAGTGTACGGTCCACATAACTCATAATCCCACAATGGGCAAGGTTAAAGGGACCACTGGTGGGGTCATCTGTTCCAACCTCCCAGATGAAGCACGGTCCTCCTAGAGCACATTGCAATGTTTGACCCCCGAGTGTGTGTCAATTCTCATTACCAAACTCTCAGCCCAGGTTCAGAGCCACCAACACCATTTTTCCCTCTTGCCCAGCAAGGGAAAGGCTGCAAGGGTCAAGGATGGGGGACAGTTGACACCTAACAAAACCCCCAAGTACCAGCAAATCGCTTCCCTCCACCATGAGCATGCTGGAACAAGTGATTTCCAGACTGATGCTCACCAGATACCTGGGGTTTCTTTGCAGCTTGGGCTGTTTGACCAAAAAGCAAGGTGGAATTAAGAGCTGTGACATCCTTATGTCTTGGTCTCCAGGTGATGATACGGTTCAAATTAGAAGAAAAAAAAATCCAAACGCAATAAATATGCCAAATTCTCTGATTTTAAGTCATCCTCTAAAAATTAACACAGAATCACAGACTCAGGGAATGGGTCAGGTTGGAAGGGACTACAGTGGAACTTCCTGGGCATCAGTTCCTGCCCGTTCCTCCTGTGCCATTGCTGGGCCTCCCCGAGCAGAGCCTGGTCCATCCTCTGCCCCCTCCCTACAGACACTGACACACATTGGGGAGGGCTCCTCTCAGTGTCTCCTCTGGAGGCTGAACAGCCCCAGCTCCCTCAGCCTTTCCTGCTCCCAGAGATGCTCCATCCCTTCAGCATCCCTGCAGCCTCCGCTGGACCTGCCCCAGGAGCTCCATGTCTCTCCTCCTGTCCTGAGGAGCCCAGAGCTGGACACAGCACTGCAGATGTGCCTCATCAGGGCTGAGCAGAGGGGCAGGATCACCTCCCTCAACCTGCTGGCAATGCTCTTCCCAGTGCCCCCCTGGACACCACTGGCCTTCTTGGCCCCCATGGCACACTGCTGGCTTAGAGGGAGCTTGTTGTCCACCAGGACCCCCACATCCCTCTCCACAGAGCATCCTTCCACCTTCCAGCAGGTCGACCCCCAGCCTGTACTGGTGCAATACCGAGAGACCAGTCTCACTGTGATTTTCAATAAACATCTGGCTGAAATTGGTTTAGTTTAGGGAAAAGGAGGATTTCTGAGGCCCCTTACTACAAGGCAGACACTGAGGGGCTGGAGGGTGTCCAGAGAAGGGCAACAGCTGGGGAAGGGTCTGGAGCACAAGACTGATGAGGAGAGGCTGAGGGAGCTGGGGGGGCTCAGCCTGGAGAAAAGGAGGTTCAGGGGGGACCTTCTGGCTCTGCAACTCCCTGACAGGAGGGTTGATTGAGGTGGGGGTTGGTTTCTTTTTCCAGGTAACAAGTGACAGAACAAGAGAAAAAACAGCCCCAGATAGTGCCACAGGAGGTTTAGGTTCGACATTTGGGAAAATTTCTTCACAGAAAGGGTTGTCCAGCCCTGGCACAGCTGCCCAAGGCATTGGGGGAGCCCCCATCCCTGGAGGGATTTAACAGAGGTGTGGATGTGGTGCCTGGGGACGTGGGTGAGTGGTGGCCTTGGCAGTGCTGGGGGAATGGTTGGACTTGATGGTCTCAGGTGGCTTTTCCAACCTAAACTATTCTGTGATTCTAATATTTAGCAAGTAGTTTAAAAGAAAAAACATGCCTTTTAAGACAGTTCATACTTCCCCTCAGCAAAAAATGCTGACCCTGTCCTCTCCCACTGTGAACACGGGCTGTGCTGCCGTCGCTCCGGCCCGGACCAGGAGCTGGCTCGAGCTGTATGCACTGATTCACCTCCCAGCACACTCACCTCCATCTCTCCTCTGGGGACAAGTGCGAGAGGTCAACCTAGGGAGACAAGAAAAACACCCATGAAATCAGCCACTGGAGTTTGGGAGCAGCAGCAGCACCACAGAATGGGTAACTCGTTCCCTTCACCCTCCTGAGCAGCACGATGAGCAGGACTCTGTGTGGCTGTGCTGCCTGTTCACCACAAGGAACACAGCACCCGGCTCCTTTATCTCCTGGTGAGACCCTGACCCGTGCCGACAGCCATCCCGTGAGACCTCCAGGATTGCTCTCTGAGAACCTGAAGAAGGAATCTCTGGATTCACATACTTTAAATAACAAACCTGGATGTGCCCATGGTGACAGCACAGCCCAGAGAATCATAGAATCATAGAATAGGTTGGGTTGGAAAAGACCTCCAAGATCATCAAGTTGTCCTTTCACCCTCCCAGGCCGCACAGGGAAAGCGGTGAGCACCCCTGCTCCTCTGCCACCTCCACTTCCCTATTTTACTGGAGCTGAGGCTCTGCCCACTATCCCACACCACCACTACCAGAGAATTGGTTTAAATCCCATGTTCACAACCCTGCCCGGCATCTCGGGGCACGGAATGGTCATCCCAGTGTAGCCAATGCAAATGCAGTCCAAAATCCCACCAGGCTGCAGGACAGGGGACAGTATCTGCACACCAGCAACGAAATAGTGCTAAAAAAAATTTCAAAATTACAGAAAAAGAAAGATTTAGGCTTTGCTTTGCTGAAATGGCTGGAAGTTCCTCCCAAATGTTATGGGCAGGAGTAACTCAAGAGTGACAGGAGCTGCTGTTATTAGTGACGATTGACAATGGGCTCATGTAATCCATCTTCTCCAGTGAGATTTTGTGTGAATACTCTCACTTTTGGACAGGGGAGGAGTGGGGGGAGCTTTGACACTGCATTTCAGCTTTCGCTTGGAGCTTTATATAGAATCATAGAATCACAGAATGGTTTGGGTCAGAAAGACCTTAAAGCTCTTGTTCCTATCCCCCTGCCACAGGCAGGGACACCTTCCACTAGACCAGGTTGCTCAAAGCCCCATCCAACCTGGCTTTGAGCACTTCCAGGGACAGGGATTCCACAGCTTCTCTAGGCAAAATCTTTACCTTCACAAAATCTTCACTCGATGTCTTCACCTAATTGCTGAGGACCCTCCAGCCCCAATCATGTCCCCACACAGGCTCACAGACCGGGCAGTACACTGACCCACAGCACCAGGGAGTGAATCCCACAGCTCTGGGTCCCGTTGCCTTTTCTTGGTGAGACACAAACTCAGATTAAACCAAGAGCAGCTCGTCTGGGGCTGGGAACGTACACACGGGGTTTAGAAATCCTCATGGGGCTGGAAACACTCCAGCATTGCCGAGGCATTGGGGATGGAAATTGGAAACAAGCCATAGCAAGGACTTTGATATCACTCCTTCCTGCACACACAGCAGAGATGTGTACACAGGAACAGGCTCCACCTCGCCCCACTGGGTACAGGGCCATGGGCTTGGCTTCAACCTTTACCCCAGGGCTCTCCCTGGCATGGCACAGCCCTCAGCCTCGCCTGCCCGGTGCACCACTGCCAGCACAAAGGTGTCTCAGAGCCAGCAGCTCCCATCGCAGCAGGGCTTGGCTGAGGGCACACGCAGCTGCCCTGCTTCCCCTGCGGTGCCTAATGACACCCCAGGGGGAGGAGGCGGGGAAAGACACACAGCAGCAATCTGTCTGCCCGATGTGGAACGTCTGCTGAGCTTCACCCCAGAGCAACACTTGAGAGAGATTCAGCTCCTGAGGCCCTTGAGAAGTACTTCAGGACCCAGATGCAAAACCTAGAGCTACGGAAATCCGTGTTGGAGCTCGCTGGCTTGTGTCAGAACCCGTGGGGAGGCGGTGACAACCTGACACCGACACCGAGGAGGGTGTTTGTATCGACCAAATTCCCCGAGCGCCTCTGCTCCTAAAACAGCCAGTCCAGAGCCATCAGTTCAGTTGCTGTGACACAAACTGGAGCAAGAACAACTCTTCCGATACAAACAGGAAAAAAAGAGATTTAAAAACTAGTCACTGCACACAGGAGAAGCTGAGAAACCCCAACGCTTGTTGGCTCCAGTGTAGGTCGATCCCTCTGCAAGCTCTGGGAGTCACGCAGGTGCTTCCACTGCCTCCCCCCAGGAGATCCCTGCTCCCCCCAGGCTCTGGCCCCATCCTTGCTGAATAAGGATGTTTGACAAGCACCTTCCAACCACACCAATTTTTTTACCCCTATACAGTGGCTCTGCTCACTCCTCCGTACCACACCAGCAGCCACGCCATCCACAGAGTCAGCCCTGCCTTGGGAAACACTTCCCAGCCTCTTTGCTTCAGCATCTTCCCCAAATCTCCAAATTCTTCCAGCAGCCCCTGTGGAAATCCTATTGATATTGCACAGAGGTTCCTCCAAGCTGTGCTTCCAAGCCAACCACACATCCACAGCACCAGACACAATTTTGTCTCAATCACAAGGACTGAGATTCACCAGATTTCCCAGAGCTCAAAGCTCCCGAAATAACTTTATTAAGGGGGGCCAGGACATGACATAAGGGATGTTGGGAGGCATCTGATGACTGTCAGACAGGACTTGGCAGAGCAGCCCTCCCAAGCCAGATCTTCCAGCTAACCCCTCCTTGATCTGCACACTCTCAGCACAGAAGTTTTGGGTTGGGGCTAAAAATGAACAGTGATGGTGAAGGAAGCACCTGGGCTCACCAGCAAGCATTCATTCTATTTTTAGTTTGGGGGCATCTTATTTTAATACCCAGTTTTTGGGTCTCTTGGGGGTTTTTGGGTCTCTTCCTATCCCTGATGACAACATTGAAGAACCTCCGCCTGTAAATCTCTACCAGGGGGTTAGACAAGAACAACGAGGGTGAAGCAGCTAAAGATCAGCTCTATCAAGTGTTGAGCACCAGCCCACTCCTGCTGCAGCCTCCTCCAGCTGCCACATCAACACAGGACCCAGTGTGCAACCAACTACAGCTCTTACAAAAGCTTTTTTAAAAAAAATTAGGAATTAAGAATGATTCTTCTGCTCTCTGTCTCTTCTGCAACTCATGATCCACTTAAAATCCCCAACCTCCCCTGTGTGACGACTGGGAGAAACTGGATACCTTGGACTAAAGTCTAACCATCTCCTCGGACGTGGTATGATGGCCTTTGGAAGAGCCTTGTGCCACTCCCCACTTTTTCAAGGGCCTGATGCCCCAAAGCCTCCACAAACCTGTCATCTCCACCATTGGGACAGTCAATGGAATTACCCCCTCAAGGAAAACACAAAGGCTGTTGATAGGGTCAGCACCAAAACCAGAACCAGCCGTTCCTCAGAGCCCAGGGAGCTGGGGGGATCTCCAGGCACACACACGCTGCTGTGAGCCAGCTCTAATCTCCTTATGCTCTAAATCTGTGAAGGAGGCAAGCAGAATGCCTTGAGGATGGAGAATAAGCAGCTGCTGATTTCAGTTCAAAGCTCCAGAGCAGCCACCAGCCCTGATCTCACCTTTCCCACAGCCCCAATCTCAGTCTTTGTCTCACAGCACCCACCAGGAACAACCTGACATAATGGGAAGATAAAGTGCTGCAAGTTCAACCAAGGCAGGTTGGGAAGAGGCACATTCTTTAGTGAAAGTCTGGAGAGATTTTGGAATCTCAATTCTGCTTTCTTCCTGCTCATAAAACAGCACAGGAACAAGGATCAGGGAGGAGAAAGGTCCCAAGTGATCAAACACTTGGATAATTGGAAACTAAACGTTTGTTGAAGGCCCAAGCTCCCTGCAGGCAGAGCCAGAGCCACGGGACACTCGGCTTTATTCCAGGGGAACGTTCAACTGCTTTCAGGTCCCCACCATTAGTGATTCATCAGCAACCTGCTCTGCCCAAAGAGCTGCCAAGACCTCTGGACAACACGAGCAGACAGGTTTTGCCCTGACAGACATGGATTGTGTGGAATCACAGGGATAAGCACAGGTCCTATATGGACTCCCTCACCTGCTGCCTCCTCCTGATGCCCTCACTGCCAGCCCCAAAAGTAGCTTCCTGACAGAATGAAAAATGGGAATTTCACTTCTGAGCATCAGAGACCTTGGATCTTTCACATTTTTACATACAAAGTCACCAGAAAATATCTTAGAAATATAACCAGTAGCAACGCGGCAGTGATTGCTTTGTGCTCTAAATCTCCATCACCCCACTGCACCTGCTCTGACAGCAACACAGGATGTGGGGAGGAGGCACAAGCTCCCACAGCTCAGCCATACACCAGGGAATCTCCACAGCTTGACTCTGCCAGGAATCTTCTCCAACATAACCATCAGCATCTGAGAATTTTTAAGCGAAACCACCTATTCCTGAGGAAGAGCACCGAAAAGTACCTGACTGCACCAGCAGTCACCTACAGTAACACACAGTGCAGGCAGGATGGAACCACGTTCTCCACACAGAACAGACCCAGGTTCTCCTGGTTCTCTACAAGTGGAAAGAAAACTCCCGATCATAAAGCACAGGGGACGGCAAAGAGCCCCTGCAAAGCCCGGGGCATCAGTGCTGGTGCCCGTGGCACACACACACACCACCCTGCTCCCAGTTCCAGCTTTCCGAATAGATTTCTTGTTTCCAGCTTTGTAATTTTTCATCCCCAGGAACATTTGAAAGCCAGCATGGGAACAACAGCCGAGCCTCCATCCTCGCCCTCCCGCCCCCGGGACCTCCACTGTCCCGCTGCCCCACGGGCCTCCCGAAGCCCCCAGTGCCCCTCTGCCCGCGGGACGCTCAGTGTTCCCCTGCGCCAGGGATCCCCAGAGCCCCCCCCAACACTAACACTCCCCACACCCACCTGCCCCAAAGCCCTACGAGCTCAGAGTGCCCCAGACTCCCTCTCTCCCACTGCAGGGACCCTCAGAACCCCTCAGCGTACACCCCGACTCCGCTCCCCCGCGCCCCCCAGGCCCCTCGCCCGAGCGGCTCCCCTCCAGCCTCCCCCGCGGTGGAGCTGCCGGCCCCGCAGCCGCCTCCCCCTCCCCTCCGCGGCTGCCCCCGGCCCGGCCCGGCGCAGCCCCCACACCTCCTCCACATCGCGCTCGACGGGGCCGCCAACCTCCACCTCCAGCACCGCCGCCATCTTGCCCCGCCCCCCCAGCGGCCAGCTCCTTCCGCCGCCGCCCGCCAATCACCGGCCGAGCCGCCGCTCTTGGGCCAATCCCTGCGCGCGGCGCTGCCCCGGCGGCCAATGGGGAGCGGGGAGGGGCGGGACGCGTGTCAGGCGCGGGGGAGCCGTCCCGGCCGGGGCCCGCCCGCCCTTCGCAGCCCCGCCTGCCCTTCGCAGCCCCGCGGGCTCGGTGCCCCCGGGCCGCCCGCCCGCCCTTCCCGCCGCCGCCTCGCTGCCCTGTGCCGTCAGTAACGCCGCCCGCGCCCGGCCCTGCGCGGCCCGCAGACTACGAGTCCCGTCAGCCCCCGCGGCCGGGCCGGGCCGGGGATGGCGGGGAGCGGGAGGCGGGGCCGTGCGGTTCGGGCGGGAGATTCGGGCTTTGGGATCGGTGCGTTGAGGTGCCTGGGGGCGTTGGGCTGCGGGGGCACTGCCGCGGGGGGATGGCGTGGAGGGGCTACGGGGCACAGCCGGGGTTTGATGGGGCTGGGAGAGGGGTCGTGGTGGAGGACTGGGGGGCTACTGTGATGAATAGCTGGGAACACGGGGGGTGGAACTGGAGGGGCTGAGGGGAGCTGTGGGGAAGGACTGGGGGGTACTGGAGTGACAGAACGGGGCTGGGGCTTGTGGGCTGGATGTGGGTGGGACCCGGGGATGGGGGGGTCGTGGGGTGAGCAGCGGACACAGGGGTGGCTGAACAGGGATGAGGGGTTGAGAGCCAGATGTAGGGGTTACTGCTGTGGCAAAGCAAGGCTAAGGGGTGGTGGGGCGGGTCTGGGGGGCACTGAGGCAGTGAGATGGGACTGGGGCGCACTGGAACTGCCGAGGGCTTGTGGGCTGAGGCTGGGAGCTGCTGAATGGTGCCAGAGCTGGGAGACAGCCGAGCCCATCACAGACCTGTCTTCTTTCCCCACTAGGCACTGGAGGGATCTGAGGGGAATCTGTGTCCTAGCAGGACATTGACTCTAGAGGATCCCGAATGGCTCCAGTTAAAATCAGCTACGTGGTGTCCTTCTCCTCACAGGTACCCGAGGGTTTCCTCCGGGGTGGCTCGTTCCCCCTGAGCTGTTGGGTTCTCTGAAGAGGCAGGTGGGGGTGCGACAGGGTGCAGCACCAGCTTTCCTCATTAGGCTGAAAGGCACTAAGTGGGGCTGAAGGGCAGGAATTCCAGGCAATTCTCAAAGCGGGGTGTTGTTCCTTGGGTTACCAGGGAATTCCCTGCTTCTCCCCCGGGCCCAGAGTGAGCTGGAGCCGGAGGAGAAGGCTTTCAGGGAGGGAGCCATGTCATGTCCCTGCTGTGCGTGCAGGACCCCAAGTACCCAGCGGAGAACCTGCTGAGTGAGGGCAGTGTCCGGCCCTGGCTTGGCTGCCCCCAGGACCGCAGCACGCGGCTGAGCGTGGAGCTGCAGCTGGAAAGAGCCAGTCCCATCGGCTACGTGGACATCGGTACGTCCCCGTCCCCGTGCAGGAGGCAGGGCTGTGCCCCCCATGGGCTCAGCAGCTCTGAACCCCCTGTGCTTCCCACTGTTCCCCAGGGAACTGTGGCTGCGCCTTCCTGCAGATCGAGGTGGGACGTTCCTCGTGGCCACGTGACCAGCCCTATCTCACCTTGGTGCCCACTGTCACGCTGATGACACCGGATGACTCAAAGCTGGGCCGGAATCGCTGTGGGGTCCGGATGTTCAAGGAAGGTAAAGATCGATCCAAAGGAAAAAGGCACAGGGAAGAGCTATGGCCCTGGTGGTGGGCTGGCTGGGGGGGCTGGCAAGGGGATGGGGGACTGGCAAAGGGATGGGGCTGGCTAAGGGGTTGGCAAAGGGGCAGGATGGGGGGCTGGTGAGGGGGGCAGAAGGGGACAAGTAGACCTGGGGTCGTGGTTGTCCTTGGGAGAGCCGTGCCAGCTCTGCTCCCCTACCCCAGCCTTTCTTGTGCCCGTAATCTCCCAGTCGTTGCTGTTTCCTGGGTGTCACGGTGACAGGGTGACAAGCAGAGATGGGAGCAGTGCCAGGACGGTGGTCCCTGCTGCGTCCCCTCCAGCCCGGGTGCTCTCCCCCACAGCAGACTTCCCGGTGCCGGCGATAGGGCAGCAGTGGGACCGCCTGCGGCTCACCTGCAGCCAGCCCTTCAGTCCCCGCAGCCGCTTCGGGCTCTCCTTCATCCGCCTGCGCACGCCGCAGGAGCCTGAGCCCCCCCGGCCACCCCTGGGCCCGGTAGGTGCCTCTCACACCTCCGTGTACTGCTGTCCACGGGGAGGCTGTGGGGAGGGGGCAGCTCCTCCACGGGTGCCACTCGTGCCCCAGGGAGAGCACAGGAGAGCGCTCGCTGGGCTGAACCAGGGGCTGTGCCAAGATAGCGGGCGGAAGGTTCCTGCTTGATTGCCTGGGGTGTCTCCTTGTCCCACAGGAGGATGCTGAGCCCTCAGACAGCCCCTGGTGCTCCAGCCCCGACTTCCACCAGACGTTTTTTCCCAAACCGCACTCGTAAGTAGCCTGGTCTGATCCATCCCATCCTCTCCCTGTGCAGCGGGGCCTGGAGCCCCTTGAGGTGCTGCCTCGGAGCCCAGAGCCCTGGCTGTCCCCTCCTGCGAGCCTGACCCTCCCTGTCCCCAGGAGATCCAGCGCAGAAGAGCAGCTGAGGAGCCGCCTGTGGCAGCTGGAAGGGGGTGCAGGGAGCCCGGCCTGCCTCAGCCGCCCGGCCCGGATGGTGCTGTTGGCAGCGCGGAGTCGGGCGCTGAGGCCGGGGGGTGACTCAGAGCTGCCGGCCAAGGACCTGGGAGGTCCCGTGGTGCCAGTGGGTGAGCCTGTACAACTGTGTCCTGGGCTGCATCCCCAGCAATGTGGGCAGCAGGGTGCAAGGTGGGGGTTCTGCCCCTCTGCCTCTGCGGTGCTGCCTCCAGCTCTGTGGCCCCCAACATCAGAAGGACATAGAGTTGCTGGAATGAGTCCACAGGGGGCCACAGAGGTGTTCCAAGGTCTGGAGCACCTCTGTTATGGAGACAGGCTGAGAGAGCTGGGGGTGTTCAACCTGGAGAAGAGATGGCTCTGAGGAGAACTGAGAGCCCCTTCCAGGGCCTAAAGGGGCTCTAAAGAGCTGGAGAGGGACTGGGGACAAGGACCTAGAATGGTAGGAGAAGGGGGAATGCCTTCACACTGACAGAGGACACTGCTAGATTGGATATTGGGAGGAAATTCTTCCCTGTGAGGGTGGGGAGGCCCTGGCACAGGTTGCCCAGAGAAGCTGTGGACTCCTCATCCCTGGAAGTGCTCAAGGCCAGGTTGGATGGGGCTTGGAGCAACCTGTTCTAGTGGAAGGTGTCCCTGCCCATGGCAGTGGGTTGGGACAACATGACCTTTAAGGTCTCTTCCAACCCAAACCATCCTGTGTCTCCATGGTTCCTGCCCACTTGCTGTTTCCCAGGCTCTGCTCAGGACATCCCTGCAGCCTCCCCAAGCACCTGCAAGCAGCCAGACAGGTGCTGTGCTCCCAGCCCTGCTGGCAGGTAATCCCTCAGGTCACTGTTTTCTTCCTGCCCTCGCCCTGGTGATTTACCACTCCCAGTCCCAGAGAGCTCTGGGTGCAGCCCTTCGCTCCTTTGGGCTGGCAGAATGTGGCACAGGGTGCCTTCAGGACGTGACTGCTCTGCAGGGCTCCAGCTGCTGCCTCAAGGCCACCCACAGTCAGAGGAAGAGCCCAAACCCACGGCCACCGACAGAGACGGGCCAGGAGGAGGGGCAGGGGACAGGCCAGCGGTGACAGGGAGACAGGTGTCTGCCCCATCTGCTCAGGTGGGTGCTTGGAAGGGGTGTCCTGGTGGTGAGGGGACACCAAGCAGCAAATGGGGATAGCAGTGGCAGTTCCATAGCTGAGACACCTCCCTCCTGCTGGTGCCCGGGCACAGTGCATCCCACCAGTCTATCTCTGCCATAAGAACCCTCAGGGAGGTGTCAGCCCAAACCCCGTGTCATCCCAACACCAGTGAGCCTCTGACAACCACATCACCTCTCCTCTCCACAGGCCGCTTCCTCCTGGATGTGCTCCCCACGCACGCCTCCCACTGCGGGGAAGAGCCCACTGAAGCCTGGCCCTCCTCGTCCCCTGACACCTGGGTGTCCTGCCCCATTTGCCAGCTGCCTTTCAGCATGGCAGAGGTGGAGCAGCATGCCAGCACCTGCGGTGAGACGCTGTCCTCATCCCACCGCCTGCAGTAGGACAGCGGAGCTGGGGACAAACCCTGTGTCACCACCCCCCAGGGGCTGAAGCCACAGTGCTGGACCCAGCTGTGGTGCAAGGAATGAGGGGCAGAGACGCAGCAGCCCCAGGACGTTTGTGGCAAGACTGGTGGGGTGGATGGAGAAGGTGTTTCCAGCCCCTTGGCTGGGGGGGGGGCTTAAGGGGCCTGAAACACTGTAACAGCAGGAGTTGCTGCTGGAGAAGAATAAATTAAAGGAGAGAACGAGGGAAGAGAGAGAGAAATGCCCTGTGACTGCCCAGTGCCACAGCAGGTTCCCTGGGTGAGCACTTTGCCTTGGGGCACGCTGTGCAGCTGGTGGGAACAGTGAGGGGACAAGGAGGAGGTCACGCTTTTCCTCCCCTCACGCCCCACTTGGAGTTCCAGCACGTGTGGCCCACGGGAGGAGGAAGCCAGTACCCCTAAAGCAGGAGAAAAATACAATTTATTTACAAGTAGAAACATTTAAAAATGTTGCCTCGGCTTCCCTGGGAGCTGCAGGAGGGCAGGGGCAGGTGCGGGAGTCCCACACAGGGGGAGCGGGGGAGGCGGGGGGGGGTCAAGGGACGCTATGTCTTACCTCTGTCCCTGTCACTGGGGCTGCAGGATATCCCTGAGGAGGGCTCAGACCCTCCAGCCCCAGCCTGGTGCCAGCCCCTGCACCCACGGGTGTTTCCAGCCCTCACTCCCTGTCATGCCCTTGCCTTGGGTCCCGGGAGGGTTTAGGGTGACAATGGGTGCAGGAAGGACACGGGCGCCCTGCCGTGCTCAGGGCAGCCCCGTGGTTGTC